TTGCAATTTTATGGATTAGCATTAGCAAGAAAAAACTTGGGGCTGATTTACCAATGACACTGTTTTAACACATGCTTAGTGAACAATGTTCTCAAAAAATACGCAGTAACATTACGAGAACTTTAAAGTGACACTAAACTCAGTATTTAAATCTTAAAAATGTATTCAAGTACCCTAACTATTAAGACAAATGTATCTTATTTGTATATCACTCGGCTGTAGATCCTCAAATCATCTCTGAATTCATGCTGACACTTTCCTTCCTTGAGGAGGGTGACTACTTTAGTTCCCCATGGTCTCTGTGTGTGTTGTAACGTAGTCACTGCTCCAAGCTCACTCCTGTTATAGACTACAATCTCACGTTTAGTTTACTAATTTGTATTGAGATTGTAGTCCATCATGGGAGCAAATGTAGCCACCCTCCGGAAGGAAAGACAGTGTCAGCATGAATTCAGAGATGATTTGAGGATCTACATCTGAGTGATACAGAAATAAGATACATTTATCTTATTTAATAATTGCTTCTTTAATAAATTAACTCCTGAGTGTCAAAATACCACATCATGTACATGAAACATTGCAATTGCAATTGATTTTACTGAAGGAGTAGAAAATATGTTGTTATCTTGATGAATAAAGCAAAACTATGTTGACTTCAATCATTCAATCATGTCTGATCAATTTACATGGTTCTCTCACTCCCTTTGCATGGCTGGGTATTCAAAGGAAAAACATGGCCTCCGTGTATTAACTAAGTCCATGTAAATATTCATGATAATTCACTAAGTCAACATTCTCTACTCTTTTAGGAGATCTACTCCAATGTGTATGCAGATTGTAATACCAAATTTTAACCTGTAATGTTTCTTTTTCCCCTCATAGCACGAAAAAGGATATGCTAGTCAAATCTACTGGACTGAAGCAGCATGATTTGCACAAGTTGACCAACAAAAGCATCAACTTTTCAGCATCATTATCCTGGCCATCTAGTGTGGAATCCCAGAAGGATCATAAGTCTGCTGCTGAAGACGTGGCCAATATAAGGACCTTTCTGCTCTCAGCAGGCCTGAGAAATGAGTTGAAATGTGAAGGAGAACTGTTGAAACTGTGGAGGCGACTGACTTTGCCTCACTTATCAGTGTGTGCCTGTTTACAGCACTATATATCTTTCTTTCTCCAAAACATCACTGAGCCCTTTAGATGTTTATAGTCACCACAAGAAGCCAATCGTACAGTTAGAACCTGCATTACAAATGCAATATCACTGTTTTAAACTTGACTGTTTTATATTATTTTTGTGTGATCAAGTGTTTCCCAAATTATCCAAACTTTACAAGAAAGATTGTGATCATGTTTTTTTTTTCCACCCATGGGTCATTAAAAAAGAAAAATATTGTTTATTCACAGACCCATGGAATCTCAGAAGACATTCTGAAC